GACGTGCAGACTGTAATTCAAGCAACGCCAGAGCTCGGGGAAGAGGATCCTAAGCCCATCTGGGACCCTAAGCCCTGAAGCCCTGAGCCCCACTTATCCGAGGCCAGGCGGACTACACGCAGCCCGTGGCCAACACTGGAGACGCCCAGTTGGTCACGGAGACCAGACTGGCCTAGAGGGCTTGAGTGGTTAGTGGGCCTTTGTTTACGGCTTAGGGAACAGTTTTGATTTTCACTCCATTCATTTCGGGAACGGGCCAGATGAGTAGCCGTTGAGGAGCAGACTTTTCCACTTGAGGCACCGCTTTGGGTTCATGGCTCCAGAATTCGCCTTCGCTCGTCGCCCAAAGCCTACGAAGATTTCGAAGCTTCATATGCATGCGAGATGATTGTTCTCCCCGCGTTGATGCAGACACTAAAGCGTAGGCAGCACCCCTTTGTTGGACTTAGCGGTTGAATGACTGTGACAGGAGATCCACAAGCTGAGCCGCCCGGCCGGGACTCCAACAAAGGCGCCAGATCTTACTATGGCCTTGAGTTTAGAGCCTCTATGGCGAGAAGGGAGCCCGTCAAGCTCCCATGCTGCGGGCAGCGCTTTCCAGAGTCTCAGTGTCGCTCGGTTTTTTCCCTGAAGCCCCGAGCCTGACGTGTAGGTGCCGAAGATCGACCCTTGGACGGAATGGCCGGGAGTGGTGAAGTACAACGCGGACAAGCTCCTCGATCTCGAGGGTGATTTTGGGCCCTATTGGAGTGAGATGCTGTTCGACAGCAGCATGGCCAACATGCTCGCCTCACTCCCCACGACGGGCACTCAATCGGCGACGAGCTGGACCATCCCCGGAGGAGTGGACATCATGGTTGAGGCTCTTTCCAGTAGACATGTGTCGCATCTGCTGTTTGCGGGTAGCCGAAAACATCCTGTCGGTGTCAGGTGGAGTACTCCAGCAGCGCCAACAGCCTCCCTGGTCAGTTGAAAACGATCAAGGCATCCTACGATGGCCCAGTCTCATTTCCCAATCCATCGTTCAGTGGTGACCGCGTCACCTTTGAGGTGAGCATAAGCGAGGGCTCGCCCTATGCATCCAGCTGTGCGAAGGCGGAATTCCTCGGGTCACGTGCAGGAAGAATGGCAGAACCGATGGTATGGGTTACGTGCCTTGTCGAGGAGTTTGACCACATCGAGATGAAGCAGGCGGTCTTCGCACAGGGCCTTCAAGCAAATAGCACCTTCGGGGCCTTCACGCGGTCCGTGAGATTCAGCGTTGCGGACATCCCCACCAACTCGCGTGAGCCGTGGTTAAAGGCAACATGCTGCCCCAAGTCGAGCTTTGGGGTTCAGTCACGCTAAGGCGTGAGCTTTAGTTCGGTGCTCTTGAGGTCGCGTGGGCAAGCCAGGGAGCCAGGGTCCACACGTAATGGTCCGTTGTGATGCCGTCTGAAGGCCCTGAAAAGCCCGAAGGCTCATAAATTCCTGCAAGACCGATTCCAGGCGCATATGATTCGACGATTTTCGAAAGAGTTGCTAGACTTGCTTGTTTCTTCGGCAGTCCCCGGCTGAAGTCGGGGAGTGTACTGGACTGAGTTTATTAATGTACAGGACGGAGAGCAGAGCGCCCCCGAATGCTTTCCAGGCACAATGCACTTTGTCACAGTCGATTTCCAGTATATTTCATAGCTGGATAGATCAGAAGATTGGCAGAAAGAAACAGACAGTTTTGAGATGCGCTGCCCGAATGCTGTTCAGAAGCAGAGCATGAATATGAGCTTGAGATGATGTAGTGAACCGCAAACTGTTGCATGCTTGATGATTTCCGTGCACATGCTTCAAGGGGAGCATTTCTTTCTATCCAGTGATTCTTGTCGAGACTATAACCCAAGCTTCCGACCATTTTCTGTTGATTCCCTTTCTTGCAAGCGCGAATGTGAAGAGGCTGAAACGCTTTTTTGTCTCTGTAAGTCCACTGTTGAAACCATTGGTCTCGATCGAATGGCCTGGCATCCCTGACGCGACCAAGCATTGCCAACATGTTGGTTGGCATCAGGGGAGCAAAGCATCTCGGCTGCTGTTTTCGAAAGAACAGCGGTTACTGCTGCTGACGGAGTCGTTTGTTGCAGGCTGTGACACTTGTCAATCCGCCTAGGCAGGGTGCAGGGGGAGGGCTGGGCAGAGACGGCGCATGCTGCAGGCACGGTCCTGGCTTCCAGTCGTGTCTTCTGCCTGGAGCTTTCAACCAGATTGTCAGAGCAGTGCTGCAATCCAGGAGCTTCGGCCTAGGGTTTCAGAGACTTTAGGGCTTTGGGGCCTTTTTTTGTTTGCGTTTACGGGATTTAGGCCTTGCGGTTCCTGTCTGCGACATGATAGATTGCGCAGCGCGCAAGAGATGGATTGACTTGTGGCTCAGCACAGTCTCGTATGAGCTTGTTCTTGCTGTGCGGTGAGGAGCTGTGAAAGTAGCTACTCCTTTCGACTCCTTCGGAGTTCCCTGTCGGTATCACCGCTCCGAAGGATCGGCGGAGGAAGTCGCGCCACAGTCCTTTCTGGCATCTGAACATCTGAATGCTCCTTCGAAGCTACTTTGATGCAGCTTGGGCCTAAGAACACCTGGTACCTTTCCCCTTTACCCGAGCTGAGGCTTCAAGGCCTGCTTTCTCCTTGGGCTTGCGAAGGGCAAGAGCGCTATTTCCTCGTACCATGATCTGGTCCGAGTTTCGGGAGCAGTGATTCTACTTCCTGCCGCTGCAAAGCGTTTCGAAGGGAGAGTGCACGCAGTGCACGCGCAGTGCACGCAGTGCTTTAAGCCGGGCCTCCACCTGGCTCCTCGGTCTGCATTGACTCCCTTCAGACCACGAGGCCGCAAGCGCTTCAGGATCTTCGGAAGTTTGTGACGCATCGGAGTGCTACCAGGTATTTCCCGGTTTACAGCAACTGTGGGATGGATCGCATCGATGCAGGATGTGCTCTTCAACGACTTTATCGGTTTCCGTATCCGGCACAAGCTGGCCGGGGGTTGCGGGTCTTGCCGCGCACGAAGTAGCCGCAGGATGTGGGCCCAAACACACGATCCTGCAACAAATGCCTTCGTGTCTGTGGCAGAGTGCAAGGTGTATTCTACAGTTTCTGCCTGCCCCTTTGCTTTGCTCAGGGGCTATTCAGGTTGCATCTTCCGGTGAATGTGCATCTTGACTTGCGTTTCTTTGCAGCAGGCTCGGCCGTTTTGCCACAAAGGCCTCGTTTGAGTTCTTGCATGTGCCCTTGTCTGCCGCGGCGCAAACGAAAGCCTGCCAACACTCGCGCCCGCCTGTGGTGCACTGCCTTGCTTGCACTAGGATAGGAGGCAAGCTCAACCAATAAGTAAAACTTCTGCGTTTTGCGGCCCCCGCGTGCTCCGGCAAGGGGGGAATCTTCGGTGTGTGCACGTGAAAACAAAATTGGGCGTGCCCGAAGCCCCGGCTCACAGTCTCACAGTCTCGGAGCAGCAGCAGCCGAGTGGCACAACACATCCACTTCAAACACACACACACACACACGCCTAAGTGCTCCAACCGCCTGTAAGGCGTAAATGGGAAAGCCTGCGTGAAGTTCAAGCCCTTAAACTGGGGGCCTCTCATGCACTGCCCAGCGATGCGCACTGGTGCAGATAATCGTTCCCTCAGGCGACAAGAGCTGAGGCCGTGGTTGGCACGAAAGCATCCGCAGCAAGAGCGCACCGACTTGCGGTGGTTGTGGTTCTCCACAACACAGAGAAGTGCAGGCGTCACAGATCGACTTCGGCTGTGGCAGGCGATTGCGCGGCTGGCTTGGACTAAGGCTCCCACGCCCACGCCGGCCTGTGGTCTTGCATGAAGGGGTACTACTTCGGGCTCGGTGTACTTCACGTGTTAAGGGTCTGAGCAAACTATCCTGAATCTCAAAGCCCAGCTAAGCGAAGCTGCGGAAGACGGCGGGTTTGCTAGTACTGGAGCGTTCCCTGACGTCCGAGATGCCTCCTGTTCGTGTTCTGTCCGCACAAGCATCTGGCAAAGTGTCTATCGGTTTCTCCCAGGCTTCCAAGGCATTCGCGAGTTTCCCTGTTGTACCCGCCCACAAGTTCGACATGAATTAGTCAGGTATCGGAGTTTTTCAAGCTGAGTCCGGAATAATGACTCGAGGAGAGTATCAGGCTCTCCTGCCGCAACCTTCGATTCCGGGCAGCTCTTTGAAAACTTCGTCGTAAACTGGATTTGTCCCTCAATTGGGAGGGCCACGGCCCATAGTCTAAGTTGGTCACCACCTGCTCCATGATGTCTACCAAGACGCTGCACAGTTGGAGAGGGCTTGTTGCTCAGGACTTATGCGTCCTCCTAGCACTGCTTAGAGGCTGAGAGAGGCAGACGTAAGTACAAGCTGTATGCAGCAGTTGCACCCTAAAGTCGAAACTGTAAAGGCTACCGGCAAAACCTGTGAAAAGATGATTTCGTGCCCCCTGGCTTTTTGAAATTGGTGTCATAGTACGTCCACAGCAGTTGCACCCCTGAAGCCACTTCACCTCCATCAGCTCTTTCGTTTGACAGCTCCGAGGTGTGTTCACACGTAAGGCCTCGCATGGCTCTGCTTGCTGCACGTGCTTCCGGCCCAGCTTGCCCGTAGCCGGGATGCCGCCGTCCCATGGTGTTGGTCTCTTGCGCCTCCAGGCCTGTTCTGTGGAGCAGCTGGGATCACCAGTCTTCGAAGAACATCGGCAGTCGCACGCAGCCGATGTCCAGAAGAGCACCATCAGCGAGCTCATCATGGAGCACGTTCAACTAGCAGAGCTCTCCTATCTACAGGGGCCAGAAAATCGTGTGAATGGTAGGTTCTAGTTGTGGTGGCAGGTTGTGACCCTGAGACCATCAGTGCAATCACAAGGGTAGTGGCAGAGGCATGCCGTCTGCAAGACTTAAGGACAAAAGATCCGCTCCCTGGTCCGGCTGACTCGTGAGAGAGCGAGAAAGGAAGGCAGCTGCCTTAGTTGTTTACAACAGATGCAGGCAACGACTGCTGAGGCCGTCAGCATGCTGACGAAGCTTTCATTCCAGCGCTTTCGCTTGGGCGACAGCGGCAGTCCGTTTGCCGAGATTCCTACCAGGCACTTCGGTCGCCAGCTCTTTGCACGGCAACATCTTGAGTTGCCGGATGTCTGCACGATGGCACGCCCGCTCAGGAGACTGTCATGGGCAAGTGTTCCACCGCGCCCATGCACCCCATGTGCATGCAGAGTATGCACTCCTGAAAGCCTACCGGGTCTAGTCGGAAACTTGAGGCTTGACTCTGAGCCGATTGGATTCTAGACCCGGTCGTGCTTCTTGGGCTTATCGAGTGCCAGAATCCCTTGGCTCTTTTCCGGCTCTCAATCCTCAGCTCCTTAGCTCCTTCCGAGCCTTAGCTTCAGCCGAGCCTTCGCCGTAGAGTGTGGCATGAAGCGGCTGTCGCAGTAGGAGTAGGGACCTGGAGTGGGATCTGTGGGGCGGCAAGGGCCGGTAGGGTGGTGGGTCTTCTTGGTGGGAAACAGTCCGCTCGCACGAGCATTCGCTTGAGGGCAGAGACGTTCCACACTTCAAGGCTTCGACAAGTCTGTGACGAAGAGATCTAAGTTGAGCTCCCTGACTACCAACCTTTTACGAGGGTCGGTCTGTGTTGCATGCTCAAGAAAGTCTTGAGCCTACATAGAGTCTTGCCGTGCAAGACTGTTGTAGTTGCAGTTGACCGGTCCCCCAGTTCTGCTGTCCACTTGGCCCTTTGCGTGGATACTCCGCAGCGTTGGCTTGTCTTTCGGCCGTGTGTGTCGACTCCAGGAAGCATCGGGTGTGACCGTCTTCAACTTTCAGCTTCGTGCGACGACGACCCTTTGTGCATCGCAAAGCCTGACGTCCTCAAAGGTCCTACACTCCGGACTGGCCTAGGCCTCAAGTGGCAAGCTGGCCATGGTTTAGTTTAGGTTGTGGTTTCCGCAAAACTGTGCACGGCTCATGTCTCAGCCGGTAGGGATCCTGCTGCCTGGGATCTTGCTTGCCTTTACCCCGAGCTTCTGGTCTTTCCGTGCACGGTTGGGCCACTCCGCTGGTTGCAGGACCCAGCCTTCGCGGCGTGCAAGCACAAGCCTCCGAGGATGTCTGTCGCATGGCGCGAGCAATGCTTAAACTAAAGTAGTCCCAAGCATTTCTGTCATCCTTGTCACCTGAATCCTGCTTAAACTGCTGACACGGAGACTGTAGTTGGCTACCTGGAGGTATGACGTCGCGGCTATGAGCCATCTGCCCCATGGAGATTCGTGAGAGTAGCTGCTGTTATGTGACTGCGAAGCCGCCAGCAGGGCGGGTGCGGAATCCTGCAGCGTTTAGAGCAAGGTCTGCAGTCAACTGCGTCTCGACACTGCAAGATGAGACATGCAAGGAAGACAGCGTCAAATCTAGCTGCATTTTCCTTGGAGATGATGCTTCGGATGACAGCCTGCTAGAGCTGCTAGGGCCTAGGGTGAGGTGGGTGGTGGCAGACGACTTCGGATGACTTCAGACCTGGAGCTGAGATGCGAAGAGTCTCTTTGGACTGCAGCCTGCCTCAGGTCCTTGGTCGAGCGGGCGCACCTCGAATCTAGAGACGTCTTAAGGTTTAGGGTCTAGGATCCTTCAGCCCTGAGCCCTCAAACCCCAGAGCCTAAGTTCAGGGTTTAGGATCCTTCAACCCGGTAAGCTGTCGAGCGAGAACCGCTTCTTTGGGTGTCAGGTAATGTCGGCGGTCCCTAGACCTGTAGATGCTCAAGTTTAGTCCCAGAGCCGGATCTGCTGGGCCATGGTGTGCCTTTGTCCGGCCACCATCGCCACTCTCCTCATGATTTGCCAGACTGCTGTCTTCTTCTCAGTCGGAATCCCCTATCTCAAGGGCCATAAACGCGGGGTCTCCGGCGTTTCCGAGCAGTCCGTTTCTCAGGCTGGTTCGTTGCGGCTGGCTAGGAACCCTGCCAACATGTCCTAATGTGCCGGGAATCAGAGGCACAAGAGGCCGGAAAAAGCGGCGATTGCAAGCAGGTTGCTGTCACTGCAAGACCACAAGAGCAGAGCTGCCTTGTGTCAGAATGGGGCGTCTTGCAGGAGAAATCTTGCTCCCTTGGAAGGCACTCTCTCCTATGTGGCAAAAACGGAAGCGAGGAAGCTGGACGCCGTAAACTCCCAAGCCAACTTACCCAGCGGAAGGGCGTAATGGGCAAGTTTGGGCAGAAGCCCACGTGCCCGTAGGAGACTACCCCGATCCTTTCCGAAGTGGCCCCTGGAGTTTTAGCTTCCTCCATACTTTGCCTCTCTACCCGTGAGGACTGCTGCAGCGGTAGCTGCGTCGAAGTATGGTTGGTCGGGAGGCGTGCTTGCTTCAGCCGTTGTTTTGCCTGTGATGCTGCCCTTGGTTGCAGCCTCCGCATGTCCGTGATGCATCTATCTACCCGGCTCGACGGGATGCAGGAACTCGAAGTGGTCGACTGTAGTGACTCTGGCCGGAGTTGAATGATCGAGTCAAGGCTGAGTCACTGCTGCCGAGAGTCTGATACCCAGCGGGACCGTAGAGGCGCGAGCGCCCGTGCGAAAAGAGCAGTTTTGCGGAAGCACTGTCGACTTCGGCTGCGATGTAACGGAACCCTAAACCCTAAACCCTAGTCAGGGTCAGGAACCCCTGAAGCCGCCCGGTCTCAAGCGTGTCTTTGCTTCCAAAGCGAAGCTCCAAGCAGTTTCTGATTCTGGTGAAGCCCAAGACTCAAGACGCGCATCCGGCCCATGGGGCGTGAGGTCGAAATGTAAGCATCGTGCAGAAGCTGCCTCTGGCCTTTGTTCTCAAGCCCTGCCGTTCTGGAGGGCCGCTTGCGTCCTGTCGTCAAGTTCGGTGCCCTGGCAGGTATTCTCAGTCGTTGCCGGGCGATGTGACAGAGGCACCTGGCCACATGAAGTGAAGCTGCGGAAGACGCCGGGTGGCCTAGTACTGGAGCATTTCCTGAGGTCCGAGATGCCTGCCTTCTGCACTTGTTCCATCCGTACGACCATCCGGCAAGTCTCTGTCGGTTGTTGCCCAACTTCGGAGGCCTCTACGAGTTTCCCCTTTGCATCCACCCACAGCTTCGACGTGATCTAGTCAGGGATCAGAGCTTTTTGAAGCTGTCAGCAGTCGTTGCGCCTGGGTGCGATCGGTGGAGGTGGAGGAGGTGTGGGGTCTCAAGCTGAGTCCACAGGATGTATAGCTCGAGGACAGTAGCAGGCTGTGTGCGCTTATGCACGCTCACTCGCGGCAGGCTTCGATTCCGGACAGCCCGCTGGCAACTGCCACCTAGAATGGACGGTGCAGTTCTTGGCATCGAAGGTCACTTCGACTGCAAGCATAACTTGTCACAGCTGCCCATGAAATTGTGTTTACAGAAGTGGTCTGGTTTCTCCTGCTCTGCGAAGTCTGCGCCTCTGCCGAGAAGGCTGGGACAGTTCTGGGTTCCGGCCCGGCAGAAGGGTTCAGCGGTTCTGCTTCTTGAAGCCGTCCTTTTATAAGTCATAAGAGCCCCGAAACCCTTCAATGCATGGTGCCTTCTGGTATGACAAGAAGTGCCCTGCAAGCATCCTCAGAACCTTGATTGCAGCTGCCGAGGATGCATGGTGACAGAGCATGTCATCAAAAGGAGGGCGGCATCTTTTGCCAAGACGGGTGCTGCAATCTGCAGGTCTCTTCAAGCCTCGCCGGCTGAATGCAGCAAGGCTCCATAAACCCCGAAAGACTCAAACGGTTGCTCCGCTAAGGAGAGTCCCGCCGCCAGTCCCAGCAAGTCAGGGAAGAGTCTTTTGGATGGTTTAGGCGCTGCCAGCGAGAGGCCCGGCATGAAGGCGAGTTCAGGACTGTCAAAGGCTGAGAGCAGACGCAAGGGCTACGGATGTCTTTTTCCGAGGCCGAAGTAGACATAAGATCCCAGGTGCAAGTCGGCGGGACTTGCTGGAAAACCTTCTGAAACGTCCTAAAGAGGTTGAAGATCCCCGGTTGAGGAGCGGTATCCAAGGCTAACAGATAATCCGTTTTTGTTATTTGGCAATTTCAAAAGCACAGGTGCGCGGTTCCGTTTGACCCACTCCTCTTGTCCGTGCATGAGCCCGCGACAGCTCTATCTATTTGCTTACGTGAGCCGTGTAGATTTGTCCCTCTAGTCCGACTGTCACGCCTGAGAGGGCCACGAGCGGCATCAGCCGGCCTTAGAAGTGTTTCTGTTGTCGGGTTCGGTGAGTTCGTTGAGGTGGGGCGACAACAGCTTGAGCATCTGACCCCGTCTCACGGGACATGACGGGCAGATGGCTGCCTTTGGTGAAGTTAGATTGGATTCTTCGTTCTGTGCCACAACAGAGGCACCAGACCGCACCCCCGCGGATGCAAGGCATGACTGTGATAGAGGCTTTGTGTGACGTATGTCCCTGTGCGAGGTAGGGTTCGAGGCTCGGGAACGGGACTGGCAATTGCACCGAAGTTCCTTGTCCCTGAGCCAGAAGAAGTTGGGGTGGGCGATTCTGGATGGTGTCGTCCACTGGTCCATCCTGCCACGGTTTCGCAGGTCCTTGTAGATTTGCTGCATTAGGTCGAATTTCATGCCCGGGGAAGACGCGACTGGCATCAGTGAGCATTCGAAGTGATGATTTGCACTGTCATTCTTGTTGAGTGGGGCTATGCCCATGAGCCGCGGAGTCCGTCTGCAGTGGATTTGAATTCAAACGTCCAAGCTCATCCTGCGGTTTGATTGCATTGTTCGTCCTTTTTCTACACCTTACAGGTGCCAGACACTGCACTCACCCACCCGGATGCAAGCCGTAATTGTGGTGAGGTTGGGCCTGTCACATGTCCTTGAGGGAAGCAGCCAAGGCGGACGTACTAAGTCGCTAGGATTCAAAGCTCGGGAACGGAACTGATAGTGACATGAAGTTCGATGTCCCTGGGCCAACAGAAGTTGGAGGGCTCGATTCTGGATAGTGTCGTCTGCTGGCCTATCCTGCCACAGGGTCGCAGGTCCTTGTAGATGTGTTGCTTTAGATCGAATATCATGCATGGATAGCCTCGACCAGTGTCAACGGGCGTAACGGCTGGTGAGGCGATGCCGTGTCGTGGAATCCGTCTACAGCGGATCTGAGTCCAAAGATCTGAGCCCATCCTACTGTTTGGTTGAGTTGTTCGTCCTGTCTTGCACATCACAGGCACCAGACACTGCCCCTCCCACAGATGCTGCCGTCTTAGTGGCGAAGCTGTTGCATGGAGTCTTGGTTGTATCCGGCCCTGTCAGAGGTCCTTGTCC